GCTCCTGGGCTCACTAATCAAGACGCTTGGCGTCGTTCGCGAGCAAGCAGGGTTTCTTTACAACTTCTTGAGGAAACTGCCGTGTGCCAGCAGCCTTGCAGCAGCCGGCATTGGTTTGAAAGTGACCCCCAAAAAGGGCAAGTCTCGATCGTGAGCCCGATTTCCAATTCTTTCTTTTTATATCATTTCTCCCTGTCTTTTTCGAAATTCTACTTTTCTCCTCTTTCCCATTTTGCTCTCAAAATTTGTGCACTGCCTTCCGTTCGTCTTTTTCCATCTAACGTTCCCTCGCAGAGTCGGATTCGCCTGGATTCTCTGAAAACTGGCGAGGAGGAAGGCCCTCAAAGTAAGTGTTTCACAAATGTCACTAACGACCAATTGGTTGGCATGCAAGGAAAAGCCCACTTGCGTCTTGGTCAAGGCAAAGGACCATTGGATTCGAAGCATTGGAACATAGGTTCGACAGTAGCTACTGTAGACATTTGTAGCCCTTTCATGACAGACAGAAGGTTGGGTTCGGGATCTATCTTTTGGATCAGCCGAAAATTACTTCCATAAACTGACAATGTGAATGTATTCATACGTTTAGAAGATAGCCGCAAGATCCGCTCTTGTGGTGTTCTGTTTCATATCTACAATATCTATCGTCGTCGCGAGCTCCTGGTGTCTTGACCCCCATAGTGCTTCCGGTGAACAACGCTGTGAGCTTGTGTACAATTTACAGTCGCATAAGAGGTTCACGCGCGTACATGGCAACGAATCGAGCGGCCATTACGATTGGGAAAGTTTTAGGCGTGCAAGAGAACGCGACTGCACTGTGTGCAACGCGTGGGAAAAACCTCAAAATGCATGCACAACGTCCAATTCGAACTAGATGAACCCAAACTTAAAGATCGTAAAGTCCAATCACATTAAGAAAGAGAACGAAAGGAACATAAAAACAACGGTAAGGCTCGTAAAGTCAATCACACCAAGAGAAAGAGAACAAAATGTAGTAAACTTGTATAATATGGGCTCGGTATTAACAAGCTACTGTGTTTCTGCTTTAATGTGTGTGTGTGT